AAGCAGAGTCACGCCATGTAAACTTTAAATATAGATACCTTGGAGCTATCCCGTGCAGACATCTAAACATCATGGTGGCTTTATGGATTTCCTGCTGGCGTGCAAGATTTTTCCACCCTAAAAACTCGAGTAGCTCAGTTGCATCAGCATCATAGTTGCATCAGCATCATAGTTAGGCCACTAGTGGCCCAAAGAGGAAATTCGCTACTAGTGGCCAAAATGCGCCATTAGTCGCCAAAATCGTGAGTCGGCTTCTTTATTCTGAAGGTATCGCATTTCGTAGCATTCTCATTTCGCTAATTTAGCGACTCTTCTCTGTCGCTGATTTAAACAGTAAAATGCTGTCTTTTTAAGAGAAAAAAATTTCCTTAACACTTTCCTGATGTGCGGATCACATTCACTGCGATAGTTTTGCAAGGAAAGGGTTTGAGTTAAATTATGCGCTGTGAATTTATTTTGAGATGTTTGTCGTCTTTTGTAGTGTCACGGTAAGAACTGAAAGACTGTATCTACGATTTACATATTTTTCCGGTAAAAAAAAAACATTTTCCCGGCTTTAGTTTTATGATACGTTGATCACACCTATTGGCCAGATTTATACTAGAAACGGATCATCCGTCTAGGACGAGCTTGGGTAAGGAACGGTAGCTCGTCCGATAATCCGTCTGTGTATAAACACGGGCAACCAGTCGGTTCATCCATCCAGACGAGCTATCGTGATAGTCCGTCTTCTCAGACGAATTATCGTGGATAACTCGTCAAGACGGATGATCCGTCGCTGTGTATAAATGCGGGAAGAAGACAAACTATCCACGAAAACTACACCTCGTTACAAGAAGTCAGCGGTTGTTTTCAATAAACTTTCAATTCAAGATGGCGGACAAGTCAAATGATGTATGTATGTATGTAAATCTTTATTTAAACACGGAAAATCATCAGTTACATAATAAAAACTAAGATTAATCAACTGCTTTACATGATTGCCGTGTGGGAATCCTATATATCGACTACGTTAAGATTTTGCCTAAAATGGTTAATGGATGAAGCATTCTATGAGTTTTTGGGCAATTTATTCCATAACATGGCCCCGCTGTAAGAGAAGCTTCGTTTCAAATAATTGGTGTTTGGTTTGGACAAGGCCAGCCTTCCCTCAGAGTTTCTTGTGTCGTACACAGAGTGATGCTGAGAGAAAAGACTTTGCAGATATTCGGGAGCAAGGTTGTTTATAATTTTATACATCATTATGGCTTTTTGTTTCTCTCGTCGAAGAGATAGCCTCTCCCAATCGAGGGTGGAGAGAAGGTGGTTTAAGCTCGTATCAAAGGATAATTTAGTAATAATTCTGGCTGCTCAATTCTGTAATTTTTGGAGCTTATCGCTCAAGTAGCCACTTGAGCGATGATGGTTCGTACAAGCCCAGAAAGTAAAAAAAAAAGAACGCGTATGGACGAATACAGAAATTAAATACCTTGCGCTTGTGTTAGCAGAGGAGAAAAAACACTTGCGTCATTGCCGCCAATGCCGCACTAAAACATTTGACTAGGGCCCAAGCCTTTTCGTTGTACTTTCTCGGAAATCCGTTCAGAAAACTCGTCCCAGTATAAAACACGTGACGAGACACATGACACACCCATAGTTCGTCTCATAGTCCTTCACGTATTTATACTAGATGGATGCTCCTTCTCGACGGATGATCCATCTCCAGTATAAATCGGGCCATTAAGATATTTCTGCAAGCGAAATATTTTTCTTGTAAGTTTTCATGATGCGCTGATCACACTTTTAAAGACATTACTCTAGGGTAAAGCTTTGTTTTTTTTTCACGCACAATCCTGAAATTATTGTGAAATGTTTATCGTCTTCTGTAGTACTCCTAAATATGCAATAACTTGCATAAGGAAACGGTGTGATCACGTGCCAAAAGTTGACTAAATTTCCGAATATCTCAGATTCGCATAAACAAAGCCTTGAACACTTCTGATGTCATTAGGTTACCACGAGAAATACAAACAAGCAAAATTATGACTCCAGTTTTTATTTACCAGTATCTATCTATGACAAAATACTTTTTTCAGCCATCTGCAAAACAATGCTTTCATAGAACTGATCTATAACTATAAACACTCACTTTTAATATTTTTGAAACACTCAGTAAACTTAGAAAGAACATTCATTAACCCTTTCACCGGAGGAGATCACATCATTTTCTCCCAATCATGTCATTACTTTGTTCCGCAGAACGGTTGTCAAAAGGCTGAAAAAAATTGGATACTGTTTGATTTAACATCAAATTCTCAGAACTACAGTTAAAGACATGCATGGCAAACAGTGTGGAGAATTGAGATTTAAATCTTAGGAGTAAAAGGATTAAGTTTTAGAAATAAAAAATAGAAATTCTAAAAATACTTGGATACATTCCTAGAGATCATGGAGATTAATTAAATCTACGTTTGTCGATTCGTTCTGCCAATTTCTACAAAAGATGCTATTGAAAGCGTTGCAAATTAAGTTAACATTCAATACACGCTGTTTGTTTCGTGGATTAAGCCAACATCTGAGGTGTGAATGAAAAGGGGGGCGAGGGGAAAGGGAGTAAAGAGAGGGGAGGGGGAAACAGTTTACTTTACAGTTGATTAACACGTGATTTCTTGTCTTGGCTCTCTCTCCTTCCAACAAATTGTCCGCCATTGTCAACCTCGATGCAAAACTGCGTGTCGCTGGAGTTTTAACTAAGACTCCTTGTACGAGAAATTATGTCACCATTGCGAAAAAGATGGCTCGATCGTGTGGTGTTGTCAGCATAACATTTTTGAGATATATTTGTGGATAATGGTAGATGGCAAATATAGAAGTTAACCAAATGTAAACTGAAAACCACCGGGGAATCCTCCTGATGAAAAACCGCCACCTAGAAGATGAAGAGAGAAAACAATGTTGACCAGAAAAGAAGGAGGCACGCAATGTGTGTAAGCCGTCACACAACAAAGCATACGAGACTTTTAAAGTCACACTGCACATAGGATAACCCACAGATAAGGCGTTATTTCGTATCAATAGTGATTTAGCAATGCGTTTACGTGAAACGTGTACGGCAGGAGTGACCCCGCGACCTTGTTTTTCCCGCCATTTTTGACGATTGCCTGTTGCGCTTTGCCGTTTCTACGTGAAAGTAACCGCGTTTGCCTTGTACGTAAGATTTTCTTCACTTTTTCTCTCACAGAGTAGAATTACCGGAAAAAGGGCACCAAAACTATTCCCTGTAAGTCATACAAGGGCGCCTTCAAATCAGCCATGACGCGAGCTCATGCCAAGCTAAAGCAGCAAAGTTCACACTATGTTACGCGAAACGTTGAAGGACAAGCTCACGTTTGCTGTTTCAAGTAAACGCGGTGCTAACTCTCCCTATTAACGCCAGTACTATCATGACCTTTATCACAATTAATACTATTATTTGTATTAACATTATTACTATTTCGCTTTGTTCACGCGAGTACAGAGCGCGAAACACGCGTGCAATTATTTTTTTAAGCCACACGTGATTGTCTTAAGTTGACCGTCCACCCAAGCTCGTCCGAAAGACGAACAAAACGTTGAAAACAAACAACAACAACAAAATAAAAAACACTGCTGAAAATCGAGGCAAACCTCCTGGTCCTCCGAAGTTAAAGCCACTGAATCCTGACCCACCAAAGAATGCTTGAAATATAGAATTAGGGTCGATATCTGTTCATTTAATAAAAAGAA